TCAGAGGGCCAGGGAGCCTGGGCTGTGAGTGGGGGTGTGTGCTGCAGTGGAAGGGACATGGGATCCAGAGCCCACGAACTTGAACTCCAAGTGCCACTTAGCCAGCTGGTGACCTTGGGAAAGTAGCTTAACCGTCACATTGCCTCAATTTTCTCAACTGTAAAAGAGGAAGGTTGCAAGAATTAGGCCAGGCACAGGCTTTCCAGGTCTCACTAGTGGTAAAGAACCTGCCAGTGCAGGTCCCATAGGAGACTCCTGGGTGAGGAATATCCCCTGGAAGAGAAAATTTTGCAACTCACTCCAGTGTTCTTGCCTTGAGAATCCCATGGACAGAGGAGCCTGGTGGGCTGCAGTTCATGGGGTTGCAAAGAATCAGACATGACTAAAGCAACTTAGTGCATGGTGCAGACAGCTGCATTTGTTCATCTAATTCTCACAACAGCCCTACATGCTAATGTTACCTCCACTTTACATATGAGAGTCTTGAGGCTTAGAAAGTTCCTATAACCCACCAGAGCCCAAAGGCAAGCTAGGCTGAAGCATGTAATCCCCATGCTGTTCCAAGCCTGCCATGTGGTTCCTTTCCTGGCTGCAATTCCCATTGCCAGGGCTGGCTTCTTGGGCTTTGATTTCAGCAGTGGTTGAGGAGGAAAGAACTCTAGCTCCATTCTGGAGGTTTGGAAGCAACTCAATCAAACTCAGTTCTCCAAGGCCCTTCCATAGCACTTCAGCTCTTGGCAGCACTTTGCAGTATACAGATCCTCTTTACCTTTATTAGCTAATGCATCTTTCTAATAATCTTGTTAACAGATGAGAAAAAGAGAGGTAAGAGAAACTTAAGTGTCTTATTCAGGATCACACAGGTAGGGAATGGCAAAGTTAGCCTTGAACACACTCTGGTTCACCACCGTTTCTAGGAGAAATCACATACTATCTAACCCTAATAGTTGCTGTCACCTCAGCATTTGTGTGTGTTTTCCTCTGTTCAAAGAACAGATCTGTTTTATTTTAAATTGAGGTAAACACATGTACACCCATGGCTGATTCATGTCAATGTATGGCAAAAACCACTACAATATTATAAAGTAATCAGCCTCCAATTAAAATAAATTTTTAAAAAATTCAGGTATAATTGACAATATTATATAAATTTCAGTTATATAATATAGTACTTTACAATTTTAAAGGTTATATTCCATTTATAGTTATTATAAAGTATTGGCTATATTCCCTGTGCTATACAGTATTTCCTTGTAGTTTTATTTTATACATGGCAGTTTGTACCTCTTAATTGCCTAACCTTATCTTTCCCCTCCCACTTCCCTCTTTCCTTGGGTTACCACTGGTTTATCCTCTGTGAATCTATTTCTTATTTGTTATGCTCACTGATTTGTTTTATTTTTTTATTTTTCACACAGCATTTGTCTTTCTCTGACTTATTTCACTCAGAATAATACCTTCCAAGTCCATTCATGTTGTTGCAAATGGCAAAATTTTATTCTTTTTTTACAGTGGTGTTCCATTGTGTGTGTATGTATATATACACAACATATCTTTATTCATTCATCTTTTGATGGACACAGGAGCAGATTTATTTTTAAGTCTTTCAAAATTTGGTAATACATGACTAAAAAGTCAAAACATTTTGTGCAGAAGAATTCCAAATAATTTATGTAGATATTCCACCCCCAAGAGAATGGAGTATCATTCCCCACTCCTTAAGTGTGGGCTTCAGATAATGACAGTACAATATAGAAAAGCGGGGCAGAGTAACAGTACAGTGGAGAAACCTGAAACAAACACCACCTCAGCCAGGTGATCAAGTCATGTTTATAATAGGTTATGTATCCTGAACATAATGTAAAGCTGCTAAGTCACTTCAGTCATGTCCGACTCTGTGCAACCCCATAGACGGCAGCCCACCAGCTCCCCCGTCCCTGGGATTCTCCAGGCAAGAACAGTGGAGTGGGTTGCCATTTCCTTCTCCAATATATGAAAGGGAAAAGTGAAAGTGAAGTCGCTCAGTCGTGTCCGACTCTTCATGACCCCATGGACTGCAGCCCACCATGCTCCTCCGTCCATTGGATTCTCCAGGCAAGAGTTACTGGAGTGGGGTGCCATTGCCTTAACCTCTGTGGTCTTCCCAAAAACCCACAACCCGGTCTATTCAGAAAAACATCAGACAAATCCCAGTTAAGGGACCACTTACAAAATACCGACCAAGCATCCTCAAGACTGTCAAGGTTATCTGAAACAAGGAAAATCTGAGAAACTCAAGTCAAGAGGAATCTTTGGAAATGCGATGGCTAAATGGAAGGAATCCTAGGCAGACAAAGGATGTTAGGAAAAAACTAAGGAAACCTGAATTAAGAATGGATGTATTAATATTCACCCATTAATTACCAAATATACTATACTTGTGTCAATAAAAGAAGACAGTGGATGTGAGGTATATGGAAACTTTTCTTCACAATTTTTCTGTAAATCTAAAACTGCTAGAAAAAAAAATTAACTTTACTTTTCAAAGAAGCTTGAAGTTTCAAAAAAAAAAAAAATACTCGGTGAAAAGTCTCCCTTCTACCCTTGATTATCTGCTCAGGTTTATTCCCCTCCAAACCACCATGCCTCTTTCCAGGAGGGTTCCAGTGAAGCAGCATGGTTTGGTGTCAAGAGTCTGGCCCCCACAACTGAAATAACTGGCCCTCAGTCTTGATCTCTGTTGGTTTCTAGCTGTGTGACACTGGCAGTTCCTTACCCTGTTCTTGCCTTGTACCCTCAAAGCTAAAATCCTCATAAAATTATTGGGAGTGTTAAATGTATTAATGTATATAGTAAGCGTCTTATAAGTGTTTACTTTTATTATTGCATATAAGTAAGCAAATATATTTATGCAACAAATGTTAATAGAAAATATCCAAAACTTGCAAATAACGCACATCAAAAAAATCAGAGTCCTTTCAGAGTTATTTTAGATCATTGACTAATAACCCCACCTATGGGTCAGCCAGGGGAAGTAACTGCTACATGATTTGCTATTGATTGATTAGTGTGTAGACTCTATAAAGAGGTTAACCTGTAGAAGATTGATGAACAGCAAATTTTTTTGCAGGTAGGAAAAAAAAAGTTATGGTTTTATTGCCAAGTAGGAATTAATTTCTTTGTATCTAATTTTGCAGTCTTATTCAAGCATTCTTTTTCCCCCGAGTGTCAATAATTTTTCATTTCTTCCTTTTTTCTAAGTTAATTTTTTTAATATTATTTGTTTGGCTGTCCCAGCACATGGAATCTTGTTCCCTGACCAGGGATCAAACCTGGGCCTCTAACATTGGGAATGCAGACTCTCAACCACGGGACCACAAGGGAAGTCCTCATTTCTTCCTCCGATCCATCCTGCTGGTTTACTCATTAAATAGTTAAATAAATCTTGGATCTCACTATGTATCTATATTAGTCAAGTTTACCTTGGTGCAAATTTTGCTTTGACAAATAGTACCAGGCCATATACACTGTCCTACCCTTTGTTTTTTTTCACTTAATACATCTTGAAGGTAGTTTCACACCAGAATATAAAGAGCTTCCTTACTCTTGTTTTGTCACTGTATAGAATACATCATAAGGTTATGCAGTATTTATACTCAGAATCAATTTAGCCAGCCCCCTACTGATGAACACTTAGGTCGTTTCCACTCTTTTATCATTGCAAACAGTGCTGTATGAGTAACCCTGTACACAGCCTGAGGGCAGAACCGCTTAGAAGCTGAGGGAAGGCTGAAGGGCCTCTGGAGGGCACAGGAGCCTGAGGGAGGGCCCTGGTTACCTGCTCCCAGCCCTGCCTAGCCGGTCTTCCCCTGGCTCTGTGCCAATCCGGCCTCCTCCTGTCTCCTCCTCTCCATCCTGAGCTCCTGGTATCTCCAGACAGGAAGGGACAGCCGGCGGTTCCCTGAAGCCCTGGGCTCTGGCTTCCACTGAAAGCCAGCCGAGGGTGCCTTGGAGAGGAGGATCTTGGGGGCTCGGGGCCTGGGGCTGGTACTATCCCTGGGCTGGAGCCACTGGGGGCACATGCTCAGCACACCCTGAGGGCTCTGGTAGGGGGTGAAGACCCGGGGGCCGGGGACTTCCTGAGGATGGGGGGCACAGGGGTGTCATGCTGACTTGCAGAAGGACAGATTCTTTAGCAATAGGATGGAGTGTCTCATCCTGTTGCAGCTGGAGCTGAGGATCCTCAGTGGCTATAGCCCAGGGTCAGTACCAGCCCCAGATTCAACTTCTGGCTTAGGACTGATGAAGAAATTGGAGTCCAGCGAGGGGAACAGACTTCAGAGAGACCTCCTAGGGGGGGAGGGTCTCCAAACCTGGTGTAGAACAGAGACCCCCTGAGCTAAGGCACACACCAGAGGGATGGTGTGCAGGTTGCCCAGGATGGGGTGGGGGTCCCTGGAGCAGGTGAGGGGATCCTGCTGGTTCCCACTCCTGGTTCCACCCTTCATCACCACACCCCCCTAATCCTGGGAAGCAGGGAGAGGCTGTCTCTTTGAAACAAAGGAGGGGGCGCAGACCTTCCTCTCTTCTGACTCCAAACCCAGTCTGATGCAATGGGGAAGGGAAAAGCTGAAGGCTGGGGGTCCCCAGAGTGAACAACAGAGGGGAGACCCACCTCATGGAGTAATGATGGTCTGAGAGTGCACAGACAATGTGAACTTCACCCCAGAACAACTCTACACTGCCCCTACATCTCAACCATCCATCACTGCATTCCTGGAACCCTGGCTCCTCAGAGCTGGAAATCAGCCCAGAGAAGGCCATCACTCTCGTTACCCTGGGTACGCTCAGAGAGGGAAGCCGTTAGCCCTCAATCACCCAGTTGGTGGCACAGCCGGGATGAGAACTCAAGAACCTGGTTCCAGACTCCAGCTTTTTTTGGTATTAGGTTATCTAGCTAGTCCAGTTATCCTCCCAACCTTTCTTTTCCGGGACCATCACTCACAGTGTAAACAGAGCTCTCAATAGCTGGACCCTTTATCAGAAGCCCCAGCACACTCCCCCCCACTCCAGGAGGTCAGCCTGGATTGATCTTCCTTCTCCATCTCTCTCCTCATTGCAACTATGATAGCAGACAGTGCTGGTGGGGAGGGATGGGGGAAGGACTCAAGGCCACAGATCCTGGTCCAGGCCCCATGCACCTGCCATGAGGAGGGCAGCGACACATTCTGAGCGATCCCGCATGGCAGCCTTCATCAGCGCGGTCAGTCCCCGCTGGTCCCGGCGCTCCAGGTCAAGGCCTGCATAGTAGTTGATCAGGTGACTCACCAGAGACACGTGGCCTACAAGGCACCAAGGGCAGAGCTTAGCTACTCAAGAAAGGGATGATAAAGCCCCAAACCCACCTTCCATCCAACAAGGCAGCGTCTGGGGTGGGAGAACGTCATTGCAGACAGTGTGGGGCTATGGTCGGGTCTGGAGCGGGACTACTGATTAAGGATGGGGTTAGCAGCCTCTCACCTGCTTGGGCAGCCAGCATGAGGGCTGTGTCCCCTTCTTTGTCCTGCTGGTTCACATCCAGGAAAGGACAGCGGCTGAGCAGGGCCACCACACTTTGGAAACCATGGTAGCAGGCGACCATGAGGCCTGTCTGGAGGAGGGGCAGCTCAGCCTCTGTGGTTTCCTCCAGGAGCTCCATGGGGGCCCTGGGTCCTCTAAACCCACAACCGTCTCAGAGATGTCCCAGGCCCTGGGAAGACCCACTCTTACCCACTCCCTCCTGAGGACCCAGGTGATGGGTGCTGACCCTGAAGCTCACAGTGCCCTCGCTGCCCTGCCAAGCCCCCCGGTGTGGCTCACCCTCCCGTTGCCGTCCACCTGGGTGGCTTCCTCTGGGGAGACCCCATCTTCCAGCATGGCTTGCAGCTGGGCAGGGTCATTGCGGACACAGGCCCAGTACAGGGCCCCCAGTGTGCAGCCTGGGGTAGAGGCCTCATTGTCCGGGCAGGACAGGGCCTCAGATGCATCCAGCCCTCCCTTCTGCCAGGTCGGCTCCTGGTCTTCCATCTTGCAGCCAAGAAGGCGAATGGCTCCTTCTCACGCGGTTGACATCTATAACACAGGATGAGGGGAACAGTGTTCTTCCTGGAGCCGGAGAGGGACCCCAGCAGTTGTGACTGCCCAACTGGCCCTGGGGAGAGCTTTTTCTTGCTGGAGTCTCCCGTCCCATCTACCTTGGAGAGAGGACAAACCCCTGGCAGAGAGTTGCAAGAGTCTTAAGAGGACAGGAGTCCTTCACTACTAAGCGAGGATCCTAGTGAGATTCAAGGAGAGGAGCGGTCTTCTCTTTCCCATGGGAACTTACCTGGGGTTCGCAGGGTCCCTAGCAGGCAGTCACTGCTGGGGCCCAGCCTGGAGCCCAAAGCATTCCCCAGACTCCTGGNCTTGGTGATGGGGCGGTGGTGGAAGAGGGTGCTATTGACATCTCACCAAACAGGGGCTGGAGGGAAATGGGGGTTCCAGGGGTCACCTGGATCTATTTTTTGAGGTTCTGGAGAAATTAAAATATAAAGAATTGCTTAATTAAGGGCACAAAAATTATGATATAGAAAGTTTACGGGATTAGTTTGTTGTGGTAAATTAAATATGAAATATTTAAATTGTGTTGATATTTAAATGAATTTATTTGATTATGTAATTTGTTTACTTATAATTATTTATTAAATTAATAATGAAGTATTGTCAAACCATTCTTTAAATTACTAATAAATATCAAGTTTAATGAATTGGTTTTGGGCCTCAGGTGTAGAAAATGGAGCAAGTCATATTCCTCTGCTTATATTAGTTCAATTATAAGACTGTATAAGATCTCTCTCTTGTTTTACTTTATTTGACTTATCTCTTTCTTCCCTGATCCCCGGAGCCCATTCTCCTTTCCTTTACCAATTGACACAAATATCCTTGAAAATGTACATTTCATTGAGAAAGGTAGTGTTGATTTGTGTCTGTTTTAACTAACACCTTGCTTCCCTTGTGGCTCAGCTGGTAAAGAATCTACCTGCAATGCAGGAGACCTGGGTTCGATCCCTTGGTTAGGAAGATCCCTTGGAGAAGGGAAAGGCTACCCACTCCAATATTCTGGCCTGGAAAATTCCATGGATGGTATAGTCCATGGAGTCCCAAAGAGTTGGACACCACTGAGCGACTTTCACTTTCACTTTAACTAACACCTTAGATTGTGCTAATCTCATTGTGTCTGTTCTCTTCACTCAGCGCTATGTTTTCAGGTTCTGTCCTTGTTGCATTCCTTGCAGTGTATCCATCAGGAGTGCCTTTGGTTGTAAGTAATCAAAAACTGACCTTAGCGGTGTGGTGGCTGCCACAGACTGACTGTTCAACATCTATCCAAAACTGCAGATGCTGGAAAGCTAAAATGACATCTCCCAGATTCTTGTGAGCTAGGAATCTATGATTTATGTTCTGCTCTTGTGTGAGACATAAATTTGGAATACAGCTAAGTAGCATGGGACATCCGTTTTGCTGTCACAGATCATGATAGATGCAGGGGGATTCTGGTGAGTAGCTTCCTGATTCATCGGCTTCCTGTAGTAATGACTGTTGTTTTCCCCATCACAAGCAGAGGTCATGTGCCTCTTAAAGCTGGGAGTTGTTCCTGGACCTAGAGCCTGCTTCTCCATTTAAACTAGCCAGGTTTATTTCTATTGTCTGTAATTGAACAGACACTCTGACACATGTGGCTTAAACAAATAGAGATTTATTCTTCATACAAGATAAAAAGTTCAAGGATAAGAAGCTGTTGATGTTGATTTAGTAACTTAAGATTTCAAGGTCTTCTCTAGGAGTCTCTTGACTTTCCCTCATGGTCACAAGATGGCTGCTATACCTCTAGCCATCACAGCAAAATGTGGTGAATGTACACTATGGATTTTGTGCAGCATTTGGAAGAAATCAACTAGATCATTTGTTAGACATCACTGATAGATAATGCAGTCCCTATCCATAACTCCCCATTCTCTCTAGTCACTTTTTAGTTAGGTAAGGCAAAGTAACACAATTTTGGCCAATGACATGCAAGCAGCACTCTAATGGGTGAGACTCCTGGAAAAATCTTGTTATCTTGATAAAATATGTGCAGTGTACCTTTTAACCTTTCTTTCTTCCCTCTTATTCCTGCTGCATAGAATTCTATAGAGTGCATCCATTACATTTTACTTATCTACTCTTCCAGTGTTGGATACGTATGTTGCCTCCAACTTCATGCCACTGCAAATAATGCTGCAGTGAGCATCCTTGTACATCTCTAGCTGTAGACCTGAAAAAGAGCTTCTCTGAGACTGCTAGGTCATAGGACATACACACACTTATTGACCAGGTCCTGTCAGATTGCTCCCTATTTTGCAGTGTACCCACCAACAGTGCATTGAAGTATCCCAAATCCTTACCAACCCTTGTACTTATTTGGCCTTCTAATTTAAATATAGTTCGATCCCTGGGTCGGGAAGATCCCCTGGAGAAGGAAATGGCAACCCACTCCAGTATTCTTGCCTGGAGAATCCCATGGAGGGAGGAGCTTGGTAGGCTACAGTCCACGGGGTCGCAAAGAGTCAGACACGACTGAGCGACTTCACTTCACTTCACTTCACTGTATATAAAGCTTTCTGTTAGCTTTATCTGTTGTGAACTTTATTGATAGAAATCCTAAATTTTGATGTGGTTAAATTCATAAAAATTTCTCCTTATACTTGGTGCTTTTGAGGCTTGCTTGAGAAGAATTTCCCATTCCAAGATCACAAGGATCTTCATTTCTCTTATTAATCTTGCAGGTTTTTTTTTTAGTATTTAGTCTTTAATCCATCTGGAATTTACTTTTATATATGGTATGAGGAAGACTGTTATGAACAGAATTGGGTCCCCCTAAAATTCATATGTTGAAGCCTTGACCCCTTACTGTGACTATATTTGGAGATAGGGACATAATGGAGGTAATTAAGATTAAATGAGGTCATAGGGTAAGGCCCCATTCCAATAGGGGCCTACTGTCCTTTTATTTTTTTAATTAAAAAAATTTTTGGCTGCGCTGGGTCTTCGTTGTGGCGCACCGGGCTTCTCTAGTTACGGCGCTGTGGCCATCTCCTGTTGCACCACAGGGGTTTCTCATTGCGGTGCTCAGGCTTAGCTGCCCTGTGGCATGTGCAATCTTAGTTCCCCAACCAAGGATCAAATCCAGGTCCCCTGCACTGGAAGGTGGGTTCTCAACCACTGGACCACCAGGGAAGCCCTGGGACTGCTATCCTTTTAAGAAAAGGAAGGAAAAAAAAGGAAGAAAGGAAGAGACATCAGAGCCCGCTGCCTCTTTCTTTTTCTCCCTGCCATGCCAGCCCCTGTATAAGGACAGTGGAAAGGCCATGAGAAGTGAAAGTACAGTGAGTACAGTGAGAAGACAGGCATCTACCAGCTAAGGAGAGACCTCTTACCCCAACCCTGCTGACATGTTGATCTTAGACTTCCAGCCTCCAGAACTGTGAGAAAATTCATTTCTATGGTTTAAGCCTCCTATTCTGTGGTCCTTTGTCATGACAGCTCAAACAGACTAATACAAAATCCAGCCTTTTCTCCAACTAGTGAATAACCCCATCTATTAAGCAATTCTCTTTCCCCTGTAGCATCATCTTTACCATCTATAAACTTCGAATTCTCTTTAATGTTTCATGTCGTGTTTAAGTTCTCTTTTATCATTTTATTAGAGCCTTTCTCTGCTGATGCAACACTGATTTTACTACATCAGTTTTGCAGTGTGTTTGACTACCTAACAGGGTGAGCACTCCATCTTTTGAAAATTTCTTTTTCAAAATTGATTTTTATCTTTTCACATAAAATTACGAATCAGTTTGCTGGATTCTTTAGAAAAGAATTTGCCAGCATTCTGATAGAAATTGCATTGAATTTATAGATTAATTTGAAGACAGTGGACTGCTTCACAACATTAAATTTTCTCCTCCACAGAACATGGTATATTTATTCATTTTCCAGGTTTCCGTTTATGTCCTTCAATAGTGTTAACTTTTTTTATTCTCCAGCACAGTCTTATACATTCACTGTTAGGTGGATTCCTAGATTCTTTCTAGTTTTTCTTGCTATCATAATTAAAGTCTCATGTTTTTGTTTTCCTTATTGTTGATGTAGATGCAACTTTTTCTTAGCCCTCATGTATGCTGAATCAGATTAAGCACAATCCCCAGTTAATGACGTATTCTCCTTATTGATGCCTATATAGTCTGCTTTTATTTTATTACTTAGTTAATTATTTTTAATAAGGCAATAAGCACCCAGAATAACATCTCCAAGCAAAAGCTAGAACTTGACATCACACTACATGATTTCCTCAATTACCCGCAGCCTCTCCCCACTCAAGGTAGCTATAATCCTGAACTTCATATCCATTATTTTGTTGCTTTCCTTGATATATTGTTTCATTGCATCTTTAGATATTCCTTCAACGTATATACATTATGTATATTACACGTATAATTCTAGTATTTTAGTTTACAGGATGTAAATGCTGTGGTAGTCATTTGCTGTCTGCTTTTATCATTGAATAACATTTGCTAAGACTCACTCATGCTGTTGTGTGGTGCTACAGTCCCTTCATCTTGGTTGCTATGTAATACTCTGCTGTCTGAATATACCACAGCTATCCTACTGCCTTATCGATGGATATTTGGGGTGTTTCCAAGTTTCTGCTACTATAAATTGTGCTTGAGTTTGTCTAACTCAACAACTGTCCTCAGACTAAAGTACATTCCTTGCTCTGTTTCCCTGAGTTTCTACCTTCCCTTAGATTTTAACCTAATAAATTCTTGCTCTCTGGCGAATTCTTCTGGCTTTTAAATAATTTGCACTTGCATTTTAACTAGCATTTTTACTGTTTTACTCAGAAAGACTAGCCTTGAGTCCAGCCAGTCATATTATTGGAAATAGAATTTCCTCTAATCCTAATTAAAAAATCAGTCTAATAGGAAAATGGGCAAAAGACATGGTAATTAATTCATAGAAGAAATACAAATG